AGATGCCCTCAGGATTCTTTGTCTTTGATTTTAGTGAGTGTGATTATGATATGCCTTGGTGATATTCTTTTGGGGTCTATCCTGTATGGGGTTTGTTGAGCTTCTTGGATGGTTAACTTTTCATCTTTCATAATATTAGGGAAGTTTTCCATCAGCAATTATTCGATGATCCTCTCTGTGTTTTCCATTTTCTCTCCATTCTGGGACTCGAATTACTCGAAAATTTTGGCTTTTGATTGTATCCCACGTAATTCTCAGGGTTTCTTCATTTTTTTTTCATTCTTTTTTCTGATTTTTCCTCAAATAAAGTTGTATCCAAGTGTTTGTCTTCAATTTCGCTCATCCTGTCTTCCATTGTTTCAAACTTGCTCCTCAGACCTTCTATGACACTGTCCATTTCTGAAATCTTGTTGTTTATCTTTTGTATTTCTAATTGTTGTTTTTGTATGATTTCTAGTTGTGATTTTATTTTGGTATTTTGTTCCTGTATTATTTTCCTGAATTATTCCATTGTTCTGTCTGTATTTTCCATGAATTTGTCTGCCTTTTCCATGAATTTGTCTATTTTTTTTCCTCTGCTTTTTGCTTCAACTGTTGGACAGGTCTGAATATTAGAGATTTGAATTCCTTTTCAGGTAGTTCTAGTGCCTTTTCTTCTACTGGAAAGTCATATGGTGTTTTCTTCTGGGTGCCTACTGGAACCATCCTGTTTTGTATTTTTATATATTTTGATATTTTCTGCTGTCTTCAGGACACTCAGCAGTTATTTTCTTCATTTATTGATTGTAGATCTGTTTGTTTTGTCCTGGTTTTTTTGTTTATGTTTGAGCAGGCAGGCTCTGCGTTGTTATTTGTTCATCTGTGGGCACGATACTTTTCACCTCCTTGTCCAATGGGCAGGCAAGTTGCTTAGCTATGGTGCAGCAGGGCAGATCCAGCTGAAGGGGAGGGGCTGGGATGGGTTATTTGTGGCATGTACTAGGGCTGACAGCGCAGGCCGGTAGTCAGTGCAGGGCAGTTTCCAGTAGGCAGTGCCTGTGCTGTTTGGGGGTGTGATGTTCAGCACATGGTGCCGGTAGGCAGGAAGGAGGGAGTAGGTTGTGATGTGTGGCACTAAGATGGGTATGGAAAAGAAGAGAGAGAGGACAGAGAAACAGGAGCCAAAAAAAAGTGCCGAGGGTGCTTGCCATTGGAGAGACGAGAAACTGAGAAATGGAGAAAAACAAAAAGGAAAAAAGAAAAATAAATTAAAATTCTTTAAAAAGCCCCCAGGGATCCCACCGGTGCAGCTGCGCAGACCGGGGGAGTAGCTCCTAAGCCGCGCAGTACAGCCCAGCTAGAAGGGGCTCCCAAGCCACAAAAAGAAAAACAAAGAAACCCAAAAAGCCCCCAGGGATCCCACCAGTGTGGCGATGTGGACCAGGGAAGCAGTTCCCCAGCCAAGCGGTGCTTCACAGCCTGTCAAGAGGAAGCAAAGATGGCACACAGAGCCAGGTGTTCGAGAGAAAGGAAGGGGAGGAGGTGAGAGGCAGGGAGCTGTTCAAGAGAAAGGAGAGGGAGGAGATGAGAGGCAGGGAAGAAACCAAAAGAAGCAGAATAAAGTAGCACCAGCAACAAAGAAATGGCTCTGAAGGAACCGGCCAGTGTGGCGGGGCGAATCCTAGCACACAGAGCTGATGCCTCCCAGATGAGAGATTGTGGCCGTTGGGAAGCAGCACAGGCTGAGCAGGGGGGAAGAAGGATGGGGGGTGGGAAAGCATATATTGCTGGTTACCAGGTGATCTGTCTCCTGCTGGGAGCTCTGTGAAGCTGCTTTCCCATACTCCCTGTCTTCCGATCTCTGACAGGAGTCCAAGATGGTGAATCTGTGCTGTGTTAGCTGATAGGGGACCTCCGCTGGTATTTCTCCTCACTCTCTGTTGTCTGTCAATTTCTTATTCCATTTGGTGCTTGGCTGAGTTCTTTATCTCTTTGATGCTTAGGGTTCCAGGACTGACGTTTGTCTCTGTTTTACTTAGTTTTTCAAGTCTTTTGCTGTGGCGGGATGGCATGGTATTTCTGTATGTAGTGCCATGTTGGCTAATCTGCGTTGTTTGATTTCTTGACTGCTGCTTCCATGAGCATTGATTGTGGATCCAAGTAAAAATGACAACTTCAATCTTTTCTCTGTTTATCATGATGTTGTTTATTGGTCTTTGAGCACAGTTTATATAAATGCTTAGCACAGTCTACTGAGCACATAGCTGTCATCTGGGAGATTATTATTACTGTTATTATTATTACATACCTGTGCCTGTCATTCTCTTAGATCTTAGAAAATGCCTCTGTCATGGTTTGAATTATGTCCCCCAAAAAATGTGTGTATCAATTTGGCTAGGCCGTGATTCCTGATACTGTGTGATTTTCCTGTAGGTTGTAAACCTGCCTCTATGATGTTAATGAGGGAGGATGGGTGGCAGTTGTGTTAGTAAGGCAGGACTGGATCTACAAGACTGGATTGTGTCTTGAGACAATCTCTTGAGATATAAAAGACAGAAGTGAGCAGTGAGACAGGGGGACCTCATATCATCAAGAAAGCAGTGTCGGGAGCAGAGCACGTCCTTTGGACCAGGGTCCCTGCGCTGAGAAGCTCCTAGTCCGGGGGAACATTGATGAGAAGGCCAACAGAGAGAAAAAGCCTTCCCCTGGAGCTGATGCCCTGAATTTGGACTTTTAGCCTACTTTGACTACGAGGAAATAAACTTCTCTTCATTAAAACCATCCACTTGTGGTATTTCTGTTGTAGCAGCACTAGACGACTAAGACAGCCTCCTTTTATTTAGTCTTTAACATCTTTCAGTGTGACTTTTCCTCCGCAGACATCTTAGGGGTTGTGATGGTTAATTTTATGTGACAACTTGGCTAGGCTGTGGTACCCATATTGTTTGGTCAAACACTAGTCTAGAAGTTGCTATTAAGGTATTTACATGTGATTAGCATTTAAATCAATTGACTTAAAGTAAAACAGATTACCTGCCACAATGTGGGTGAGCCTGATCCAATGAGTTAAGGGCCTTAAGAGCAAACCCGGAGATTTCCTGGGCGAGGATTCTGCATCCAGACTATAAATAGACATCCTGCTGGAACTTCCCTCTCTCCCCCATGGCATGACCTACCGATTTGGGGAGTTTCCAGCCTGTCACCTGACCTACAGATTTTGGACTTGTCAGCCTCCCAATTATGTGAGCCAATTCCTCAAAATCAGTATCTGTGTGCATATGTGTGCTGATCACATATACGTATCTTCCTGGCTGTTTTTCTAGAGAACCCTAAGACATCTTTCATTAGATTTATTTCTTGGTATTTTGTGTATTTTAAGGTTATTTTAATGATAGCTTTTAAAAAGTTCCATTTTTGAAATTTTACCATATATACAAATGCAGTAACATTTTGCACATTGATTTTTGATCCTAGAAACCTTGCTGAGCTCTCTTAATATTTCCAACAATTTATCTGTAAATTATCTTGGACTTTCTAGACATACAATCACATCATCTGCAAATAATGAGTTTTGTCTCTTCCTTCCCATTCCTTATACCTCATTTGTTTCCTTCTCTTGCTGTGCTTCTGTGACCCCCAGCATAGAAGGGGTGAGAGCAGTGACCCTGCCTTCTCCTGATGCCACAGTGGAGTCAGCTGCAGGCTTTGAGGCTTTTGTAGAGACCCCCTATCAAGTGAAGGGAGTTGCTGTTGACATCTAGAATGCTGACAGTCTTTTCCTTTTGAGTAGTTGTTGAATTTTATCAGAAAGTTCTCCTGCTTCTACTGAGATGATCATATGATTTTTTCTCCTTTAATCTCTTAATGTGCTGAGTTATTTCTCTGACTTGAGGTGTGTTCTGCTTCTTGAATCCTTTAAGGACGTCTGCCTTCCATTCTCTCCTCCTGGGGTTCAGTTGGACATGTTAATCCAACCTTCTCACTGCAACCTCCACACACCTTCCTCCTGCAGAACGGCCTTTCTCAGAGGACTGTCGGGGGCCCACCCTCACCTCCCCCACCCCTTGCCTTCCAGGGCCCATCCTCGGCAGATGGACAGAGGCCCAGTATGTACCAATGTTGTCCCACTTTGGGTAACTATTCCCCCTCACCTCCACCCCTCAGCATGCCTGGTGCCAATCACCCAGAGCAGGAACCTCAGCTGGGTGGAGTGGCAGAGGCACACTTGCTTTGGTGGAAACTGTGAATGTTTTTCAGAAAGTGTGTCAAGCAGTCATATTCCAAGTCAGGGAATATAATTCTGTTTGGGAATTTCATAAACCCCACTGGTGCAGCTGCCACAACGGCATGGGGGAGCACAGGCTGGGCTCTGCAGCACACACAGCTCAAACCACCACTGCCAAGTCTGTCAGGAACAACCTTCTCTGCCTTGTTCTTTTCAGTTTTAGACTGTGTAGCCTGCTTTGGGTACGATGTTCTCTAAGGACCTCAGGGCTGTCCCTTTCTGGGGTGAGTAGAGTCTGTTCCCCTCACAGTGCCTTCTGCAGAGCAGGAGTCACTCTGTGTGGCTGTGTTCCACAGTAAGCCTGCTTGTGAGAGCTCTCAGAGTGTTCAACGGGACTCATATGTGGCTGGTGGTAGCCAGTCTGCTGGGAGCCCCACTGGGCAGTGCTCACGGGGATGGACTCCACGTCTCCACAGCCCAGCCACCTGCCTCTTGCCCTGGGGAAAATTGCTGCCAGGGCCACAAGTATGTCTGCAGGGGCCCTAGTCACCTAATTCCCTGCACTGCCTGGAGGGGAAGGGGGCAATCCAGGCCCATTATGGGGAGTGGGATCCGAAGGGACCTCAGAACCAGCCATACCTCGTTTGAGACCACACCTACAAGTATTGACACCCGCAACTATCGCCAGCACCAATGAGAGGGCCCAGGCTGTCACCCAGAGCTGGGTGGGGCCAGAAGCAAGCATGCCCACCCACCCCCGGGCAGGAGGCCAGCCTCGGCTAAACTGTCCCTTACTTACTATGAAACAGCACTAGAGCTGCTGTGGTCATAAATACATTTTATTTCATTAGAAATGCATAATTACAGTGTTTGCGAGCATCTTCCCCTAGAAAAGTAGGTAAGCAATATTTCCATCAAAATCGTTAGCTGTCTTTTGCACATACCTGTTTCCGTTATGCTGAGCAGAACACACAGCAAAAGCCTTTTGCTGCTCCATTTTTTTTCTTTTTTGTTATAAACACCATAGCAAATTAAAAAAAGCTGTTTAAACCGAGAAAAATATTGTAGTTCTTGATTTTTCCGTGAGTACTTAAAAGCCATCACACCGAGCTCCTGTCACTCTCCCAACACCAACAGCACAACTCAGAAGAAGGGGTCATCCAGCAGAAAGGTGTTTATGGTGGTCACCATCCAGCCTGCCGGGACACTTCTCCCTTGTGGAGGGCGCATTTCAGACGCGCTCTGATGGGCACAGCAGTCGCCACCATGTGTGAGGCCGCGGAAACAGTGGGAGCAGGTGTGGGCGTGTGCGAGTCCGAGGGGGCACTGTGCCACCTCACTGGATCTGGATGGCCCCGTGCTCCAGCTGCATCTCAGGCTGCATGGAGGGCTGCAGGCTCTCAGCTGTCTGCAGGAGGAGAAAGGCAGGCTTTATATGTGTCTCCCCATAAAACACCCACCAGCCAGTGTGAGCCGCTAAGCTATCAATGACCGCAATGGCCCCAAGCAGAGTGCAAAACAAATACACAGTTGAACGAGAGGGACACTGGCGGAGTGGACTGTGGCCTGTCCATGGACAGTAGAGGACCCACCTGTGCAGCAGCAGTATGGTCAGTCACTGGTGCCAGCTGGACATACTGGACCTGGATGTCACTGCCCTGGAGAGGTGACCCATCGACACCTGCTGCGGTGGGGTCCGATGAGGCCACAGCAATCAGCTGGGCACCCTGCAGCACCTGGACAGATGAACAGACAGAGCAGAGGGTGCTGTCAGTGAGCCTGCTCACCCTAGGCAGCGAGGAGGGAGGAGGGACACATGCGGACGGCACCAGGAATCGTTCAAGCCTATCGTTATTTTATTAACCCTCCACCAAGGAAATGGGCCCAGGCAGCACACTACATACTTTAGGATTCTATTTTGCTTGATAAATTATTTCAGAGTCATATCTGATTTGGTTAGAGAGAGAGTGCGTGTGTGTGTGTGTGTGTCTGTGTGGGTGTGTGTGTGTGAACATGTCATTCTGCTAGCTTACAACACAAGCTAGAGTTTGAAAGAGTGAGCAAAAGAAAATTGCCAGGGTGACTCCTGAGAACATTATAATGGACGATATAGAACATGAAACAGGCGATAGCCAGTTCAAAACCTTCTGGAAATCACTGTTGGTACTTCTGAGGAAGAAGTGAGGGAGGCCAGGGGAGGGAGTCGGAGAGAACGGGAGGAGGCGGCACTTCCCCAGAGCATGAGAGGGAAGATCAAGAGGCCCTCAAAGAATTGACAGTCAGGTTGAAGACACAGAACAGAAATATGAGTTGAACAAACACTCAAGATACTACTAGTAACAGGAGAGCTACGGACAATGAGCAATGAATAATGAATTAAAAGGAGGGAAGAGACAATGCAGTAGAACAACTGAAGAATTCTTGGAGAAAGGGAACGCTGAGTTTCCAGGGATGCAAGGATCTGATGAGACTTTCATTGAGACGAGGAGAGGAGGAACACGTTGAGTGCTGCCACATGAGTACCACTACAACCATATCACTGAGTACTACTACATGAGCACCGCTATGTGAGTATCACCACGTGACTACCACCGTGTGAGTACCGCTACGATATCACTGAATACAGCTATGTGAGTATCACCCCATGAGTACTGCCACATGAGTACCTCTACAATACCACTATGTGCGTACTACTACGAGTACCGCTACATATCACCTTGTGAGAACTGCCATGTGAGTACCACTACGACGATACTGCTATATGAGTACTGCTACATGAGTACCACTACGTGAGTGCCACCACCAGCCTTCTTCCTGCAGGTCACCTCGCTTTATCTTTCCAGCAGCGCTGCGGGGAAAGGTTGGGTCAATGGGACGGCAGGGATGTGCTAGGAGGATGCTGAGCTTAGGGGGGCCCCTGGGGTGAGAGGACACTTGGGGTGCAAAGAGGACATCTGGACACCTTTTTTTAGAGGGGGTCTGGGGGTAGCAGACATTTTGCTTATAAGCAAACCAACCAATAGATTTCTGTTAACAGGCCAGGGCCAACCCAAGCCTGAAGAGTATTATGGATTGGATTGTGTCCCCAAAATATGATTAAGTCCTAATTCCTGCACCAGTGAGTGTGAACTTGTTTGGAAAACCAAGTTTTTCTTTGCAGATATGATCAGTAAACTAACCAGGTCACACTGGAGTAAGATGGACCTAACCTAATCCCTCCCAGTGGCTGCTTACAAAAGAGAAGGAGAGACAGGGAAACAGTCACACAGGGGAAGATGGCATGTGAGGATCATCTACAAGCCAAGGACAGCCTGGGGCTGCCAGGAGCTGAAAAACACAAGGAAGAATCCTCCCCTAGAGCCGACACAGAGCATGGCCCTGCCGTCACTTGGAGTTCTGGCCTCCAGAACTCTTCCTTAAGGCCACCACCATGTGGTGCTTTGTTACTACGGCCCCAGGGGACACTGATGAGGTGAAGAGGTGGCACAGTGAGCACCTCTGGCCCTCCCCCCACACCACTGAGTGAGCGCTGCCCAAGCAGGTCTGACGGCATGGGGGACAGACGGGACAGGCTGCTATAGGGCAAGGGGACATACTGAGCACCAGGGGGCCATTCTCCTGCTTGTTAGATTTAGGTGTAGAGACATAACGACAGGGTTCTAAAGTTCTGGCACAAAACAGTCACAGAGTATGCAAGTTCAATTCTGGTCCAGAACATTTTACTGGCTTACAATGTTAGCGGTGGTAGAGCAAGTATGGGAGTTTGGTTCAGGCCCATTCGAAGTCCGTCCTCCCATTACATTGGAGGTACAGATGGTGGGGTGCTGTTGGGGACTGGGCCAGGGCCCTGCTGTACTTGGTTCCACATGTTGAGGCCCCAGGCAAACGGCACTCAGGGGGCACACTGGGTGGCACAGACATAGGCCAATGAGATGGAAAACCAGCTGGGAACCATTTCAGTCCCCACAGATGAACACAAGTGACCACAGGTGAGGTCAAATTCAGCAGCCCAGGCATGGGGAGGGAGCCAGAGTTACACTGAGGGTGGTGGGTGAAATGGCTGGAGTGCCCAGCCATGGGTAGGCACCACACAGACGCGGACCTCCACAGGCACCGTCTTCCTGTTCAAGACTTGGCACCTCCTCCCCCACCCTCACTCTTTCCCCATCTCATTATGACACAGGGCCATCAGAGGGGAGCCCACCCCCTCCCCACCCTTACTGTTCCCGTCTCACTATGACACAGGGCCATCAGAGGGGAGCCCACCCCCACCCCATCCTCACGCTCCCCGTCTTACTATATGACACAGGGCCATCAGAGGGGAGCCCACCCCCACCCCACCCTCACGGTCCCCGTCTTACTATATGACACAGGGCCATC